AGCACCATCTGGGTGTAGGCAGCCAGGAAGAAAGTTAAAGGCATCTGGTTCCATTTCTTCAGGTGTAAATAAACAATTTCATTATTTAATATGGGAGCTTCAGCTTTGCAAGACTTTTCCAAGGCTGACAATAAACATATCTTGCTGTGAATTGCAGCTAGAGACAGTGATTTGAAAGTAAAGATAAACCTGAAGTGGCTTGAAAAAGCATTTTAAATATGTATTATAGCATATGAACTAGAGCTCTAGTCCCAGGCAGTAAGTCAAAATAAAATATGTATCTCCATGTAAGGGGTGGGGAAAATTGTGACAAGTTGAAGTCGTCAAAGTCTAATTCCCCTTCCTTATTTTTTTCCCCAGTATATTTAGTGACGGATACCTCCCTATGTTACCTAAAGCAGCCCCGGGATTTCTGCTGCATTACTGCAGAAGCCAAAGAGGTAAAGTGAACATTCTGTCTGCAGCACAGAGGAGTTGTTCTGAGATCCTTGTTCAAGGATAAAGGAGAGAAAGAAGTCAATCTTCTTATCCACAGAAGTGCCAGTGTAGCAGAAAGGAAAGCCATGCCAGTATAACACAAGTGAATTATGTGTAAAACCCTCTTGTGAATGACAATTGCTTAGCAAGGCCCATCAGACAGTAACACAAGTGTCACACAGTATATTCTGGTTGCAAACACAGGATTTTGATAAAAACACATTTAATAGATAAGAGAGTAGTAATTTTTCATGTTAAGTAAGCAATGTGAGAAAGATGCCTCATGGCAAACAATGAAAACATTGCTATATGCATAAAATTTTTCAAATTGTCATCTTTACACCTTGTAATGTGCAGGAGAACTTGTCTGTCCTGGCTATTCAGTCTGTCTATGACGCATCCATGCCTCAGCCTTGTAAAGAAGCAGTGAGAGGGGAGATTTTGCCAAGTGCTTGGATACTGGAACCTGACATAGTGAATGGAAGAGAGATCACCAGAGTTATTTACATGGCACAGGTAAGGATTTTTCTGTATGTCCAACTGTGAATGCAAAAAGCTCTTACACAGCAGAACACTTAAGAGCTGGTAAGCAACAAAAAACACAGTCCTTATACTATGCTCATGAACCCTACAAAGTGACCACAAAGTCACCTCTTTCACACTTCTCAATGCAGAGACTCTTACTAGGATTGTGTTCAGGAACACATTCCCAATCTTTTACAGCGTTCAAGGCTGCTTCCTTGGATATCAAGTTCTTCTGTAAAGGTTTATCAGCAATTTTAGTATATGTTGTGCTCATGTGGAGAGCCAATATGGGGAGTCTTGTTTGCATTTTCACCTTGCTGTGGACACATGAAGTCCACCTTGAGTCATACTATTTTCAAAATCCCTGAAAATACTTGGTGCATTTTTCTAACCAAAGTCATTAATTCTTCATACTTAATAGATACAAAAGAGAAGTCAAGATTAGGATTCCAGTTAAGAATAGGAAAATGCTATTCATATCATTAATTTTTAGACTCATTTGAAAAGTAGACTTACTTTGAGACAGGAGTACTAAGTATTTTAAAATGTCCAGAAGAGCATGGTTTAATGTGTAAAATTAATTTAAATGCTTATGTAGCGATAAATGCCATTAGTCATTTAAACTCATCTATTTAAAGCTTAAGGATACATTTTAAAAAATATAATTAGCACATGCATTTTACAATGCATAGGTGAAATATATATATGCATTTTAAAATTTAATATCCATTTTATATTGCCCTTTAGTGTATGCATATACATTTTCAGTAACACTGTGTGTCTCAAACTAGTAAACTTTAATCCAAGCTCAAACTCAAAAGCCATGTGGGTCATACCTACTAGAAGCAACATCAAATAGCAAAGTTTTGAAAGTCTGTGGAGCATTGGGAAGAACAAGATACAAACCACACAGTGATGATGGCATTTGGTTGTTAACTACTTTTGTGCCCAACACATACTCGTTACATCAGAGCTGTTCCAGACTGGAGAAGGGTTCTGTTTAAAGCAGGTACAGACTCCAACCTGCAGCCTTTCCTCTGTAATCCCTGCAGGTGGACCTTGGTGCCCCGGCCATCCCCGCCAGGCTCCTGAGCTCCGTGGCGAAGCGGCAGCCCCTGGTGATTGCTCAGCTGGCTCACCTGCTCTCTGCTTAGTGCTGCAGCTCCAGCGGACACTGAAGAGCCCCTGACAGCCCACAGGGACACACAGGTGTCAGAAAGTGTCATGGAAAATGCTGCCTCCTGAGGCAGCCACCACCAAGCCTCACTTCAGGAGCCTGGCGGCTGCTGCTACTGGACTACATGGAAGTGCAGTCAGAGAACAGGATCATTTCCTCTGGCCAACACCACTTATAAGAAACGCAGCACGTTTAGTGGGGAACCTCTCCTCCTGGAAACAGCAGTGGAAAAGTGCCATGGAAGAGAAGAAAGGTATATTGCCCTATAAAGAGCAGAGGAAGAGACCTTGCTTTACAATAGCCAGAATCATAGAGCATATTACTTCACTCCTGTTTCCAAGCAACTTCAGAGATCAACTTCTTTCTTTAAGTAAGTTTAGGCTAGAAACAGTATCTGTATGGCTTGAGACCTTTCACAAGCTCTTGAGCAGAGCTGCAAAACCACTTTCTATTGATGAGATAAGTACCAAATGCAGAATTCCTGACTGTGCAGATAAATAATTTACCTTAGCTGGCTGCCTGTTCCCTTCCCCTTGAAGAGGGAAGTCAAAGCAGCACAATATTCACTAGTCATCCTACACCCTGGATAGATTTTTTCATGTATTTGCTGACTGCCTGCAGCCAGTGTAAGGTGTTTCAGATTGCCACTACACTAGGCAGCATCAGTGGACACCACCATACCTCAGGACACAGTTTTACTGTACTGCAGAATCAGGTGCTTTGAAATAAAGAAACCAAACTGTTCTACACAGTGACACTGTCATGGCTAGGTTAGTACTGAGTAATCAGCTTGTTCCTAGAATTTAAGTCCTGCAAGTAAGAGTAGCTCCAACATTTTTCCATAACGGCTTTTCCCATCAGCCCTGCTGCTGCAATTGCACCCAAATGCATTTGGAGCTGAAAATATAGCCTGGTCATAGTCTTACCACATTTCTTTGTTCCTAATGTGACCAGCTGTCCTACTGCAGCAAATACAGACTCTTCCCATTCAATTACCTCATGGGACTTCTGTGGCACTTAGTCCAACAATGCTGCTGTCAGGCTTTACATGTTTGTTCAACACAATCCCTAGGCTGGTTCACATGTTCCTAAATTTAAGCAGAACCACAACCACCTCAAATATCCAAATAACTTACTTTCATTCTTCAGCACAACAGTACAGAATCACTTTAGATATATCTAAGCAATAAAAGCTGCTATGTTATACTTTCATGAGCTCAAAAAAGCCCACATTATTCAAGAAGCTCTTGCACTTTGAATTTGTCAAGTGAGAAATGTGTATTCAAGCATCCACCGTACTGCAGCCAGTGCCTGCAGTGGCTTCCCAGCACATGGTGAAGTTAGCTGCACTTCCCACCTTTGAGTTCAAGAGCCAAGATCTGCTTTTACTCTGTCTTTGCACAGGTGTAATTTTGGCTCTCAGCTTCTGTGTTACTTCCTGTTACTAATATAGTGAGTTTTAAATGAAAAGACAATAGCTATTTTAAATTGGTACTTAAGAATATAGCAGTTTTGATACACACCCACCCAAGGCTTCCTCCTCTAACTAGCTCAGGGAGGGTAACAAAACCTTTCACTTACAAATTCGCTTTTTTTCATCTTTGGATAGTCATGGCTACAATCTTAACGCCCATATATTAATGTTCTTTTTTTTGGTGAGGTGCAGCCTTTTGCTAAAAGCCTGAGTCACAGCATGGTTCACTTTGAGCATCACACATCTTACAAAGCCCCTCAAGGAAGAATGGGTAACCTGTCACAGAGTTTTCTGCAGCTGAGCAAAATCACAATTTCCAGATTTGTAACTTGACAACATCCTCCCTTCAGTGAAAACCCAAAAGGAAGAGCAGACAAGGCAGTAGAGTAAGCCCCAGGAAAAATGAGCAGAACCAGCAGCATGGGATATTGGCTCTGTCCCTAGTGCTGCTTCTGTAGCTTTCCAGAGGAGATACCAGGGGTCTTCATACAACCCACTACAGATTTGCTCAGTGCTTTGCTTTTTTTCCCTTTTATTTTGGACATGGCACTAGTGATAAAGCAGGTTTTGTAGGAAAAACATCTCGGGGGACTCCTGTTGATTAATGATGCCAGTGCCTATGAAGGATAGTGTCTTACTGTACAGTGCATCAGATGTTTATTTTTATATATACTTAAATTTTTTTTTCTACGTTTACAAATTAAGTTATTTATATATGCTTGGTTTGAAGCGTTTTTATATGCTATCAAAGCTAAATTTTATTTTTATCAGTATTGAATTAATGTAACTTTTTTTTTAATACAGTCTTCAATTGATACTAAAAAGCCTATTTATATGAATGTTTTCTTTTGCAAATACAACATTTTTTGGTACTTGCTAATGTATGGCATTGGTTTGTTTGGAAGGAAGAAACAAAGGCCCAGCAGATACCAAATTTGTTTCTCTACAACAGGCAAAAACCAACTTCCTGTAAGTTACTGCTGAGCAGCAGATGATCAAACCAATTATATTGTACCACCCAGGGTTGCATCTCTGCTCCTAAATCAAGGTTGCTATTTTCATATCCACAATAAATGGTATTTTCTACACAAGAAAATGTGCCCCACCTTATTTTGCTCCAGCTAAGATACCCTTCTATGGAACTATGCTGGACAGAAAACCAACACAAAGGCAAGTTTGTGATATCAGATGTAGGTCTCCTACTTACCTGCTGAGGAATAAGCATGGAATATGAACTTTTGGCAGAAGAATCAAGAAGCCAGTCACTGTTTAAATTAGGGTTCTGTGACAGTGCATTCTCCAAGCAAAGCGGGTTTTGTTTGGTTATTTAAAAAAAAAAAAAAAAAAGTTGGGTGAAACTTCTTCCCGAGTCCTGTTACCCAACTCCCCAGAGCAGCACATTCAGAAGGAAGTTACTATAACACTATTTTTCCTAATTCTCTTTTGAGACCTATGAGTTTGCAATAGGAAAGACTGGCAGAGGAAAGGCCACACCCTCAGAGCTGGCTTTCAGAGAGCTCCTGCCCTCCTGCCTGCAGCACCTCTGGCACCAGCAGCAGTGCCCAGGACAGAGGGACAATGCCCGAGGGCCTGGTGCTGAGAGAAAGCCGCCAGCCCAGGGGGCTGCAGGGTCGTGTCCTCACGCATGACCCCACGGCCAGGGGTCCACAGGCAGAAAAGCTGTGCTCCACAACTGCCCCTGTGCCTTGGATACACAGTGGGGTGTCTGGTTTTACAGAACAAACTGCCTGGGGCTGTGGGATGCCCAAGAACCAGCGTCACTGCGTTAAGTCATGGGAACACAGAAACAGGGGTGTTTCTTACCTGCTGGCTGCCACTGCAGAAGTGTCTCCAGCCCCATAGGGCACAACTGTGTTCTCTGGCTGCTGGAAAGTGCTCCTGAGGCTTGGGCACCTTCTAAATAAAAACTTCCGAACATGTTGTATTAGAGAAGGATAATTCCAGTATACTGAGCTCATGAAAATGGCTGTGGCCATAATAGCTATGCAACAGTTTTACAACACCCAAATAAAATCCATGCCAGAACCAGGAGCACCTTTTTTTTAACTCTTATGGATCCCAGCTTCTTCCCCTTTCAGCACCCTGCCCTCCCTTACATAACCAAGTAGATTTCTATTTTAGCAGAAGCTCGACAGGCCAGACAGGACGTCTGTGCTGCACTTTGTCTGCCCTACCCTTTGTGCCAAGGTACCCGGTTTTTTCTTCAGCCTGATGCCAAGAGGTTCTCTACTGACACCTTGAACACAAGACAAGACATTTAATAATGTTTATTATGACAACAATTTCAAATGAGATCTGCAGCAAAACGTCACATAATACTCAGCCTCAGGGAGCAGGTATGGCATGATATGGTGTACTTGCTCTTCAATTTGTATTGAAATGTTCCATTTGTATTTGTATTGCAGCACGCCTACTTTTGGGGACTCTTTCATTCCCATCAGAAAGCCCCTAAAAAGAGGAAGGCAGGTGGAACCTGCCAAGTCTTTCAATATAGTGCTTAGTAAACAAGACAAGAAAAATTACAATACAGTTCAGACACTCTGTACCTCTATGATTTCTCTTTCTGTATCACATGTTTTAACAGAAGCCACAGTTCTACCTAACGAGTCCTGTCTGTAGTTTTGCTTGAATCACTAACTCGAAGATGTTACCTTTTCTCACCTTGTACAGGGAAGAGATTAGTTAATTAGCAAGCTAAACAGCCCCGGGCTTCACCTTGTCCAGAAGCTGTTCTTAAATAACTCAGAACTTGCTTTCTGGAAAAACCTACAGAAATAGGACACTCCTAGACAAAAGGAAATAATGTCCTCACTGCTTTGGGGCAGAGGGAGGGAATCCCATGGGAGAGCTGATGAACACCTAAACATATTCTGCTACTCACCAGCAGTCCCTGCCCCAAATCTCAGTTCAAGGACATACTTGGGAAGAAGGGAGTGAACAGGAGGTCACACTCTTGCTGTGACCATCTGTCTGTAAGGGCAGAAAATGCCCACTGTCCTCCAAGAAATAGGCCCCTTTCAAAACCCACTCTCCAGCACTTCTTCACTACTTTGTCTGCTCTTCCAGGCTGTTGTTCTCTTGCTGCAGCACTTCCTGACTGATAAAACCCAAACTCAAGGCAAGAAAAATTATTTAAAAAATAGTGAATAGCAGTCAAATGCCATTTATGTTCACAACTATAAAAGTGTCTTAAAAATACTGTCTTCAGTAAAAAATATAAACAGATATTTTATTCCTTATTTCTATGAAAAATCCTGGGAATTGCAAGTTCTGTTTCCAGCAAGAGATGGAAAAACACTTAAGCATCCTTTAGGAATAATGTCATCAATGGTCTAGTGGATATATTTAATACGGTTTAACTTTGAAAATCAGTATTAAAAAATTAAAATCAAACCTTCAACACTGAGCTTACAATGAAAAATAAATATAGGCACATCTCTGTGTCATATAGGCTCACCTCTTCCCTCCCCTGACTGTAGAGGTTTTGCTAAACAACATGAGAAGTCACACTGAGTTAAGAGATAGTCACCAAGAAACAATCTCTCTGATCACTCACAGTAACTTGAGTTGATTCCTGGGTTTGGTCACAGCCTGTTGCTGCACAAATACAAAAAGTGTCTCTGAGTCAAAGAACAGCTGCTCTGAGATAGAATCAAGGTGCTTTAAAGACTTTTGACTTGGAGATCCATTTGCTGATGTAAATCCTTCAGCAGAGTCACCACAGCAAAATGTCCATGACAGAAAGCCCAGCGCAGGTTTTGCACGAAGTGACCTCTTCGCTTCAGTATGCTCCCAGCAAAGAGCTCCCAATCCTTTCAGAAACACTGAAAATTCCATTTGCATCTTCATTAGTAATTTTTGTCCACAGAGTTCACCTCTGCTAACTTTGTGTGGTCACAGTAGCTAGAGATTGTCTGGACAGCTCGCAGGGGTTAGTCCTGGGCTCCTCCATCTGATGTTCTGATACAAATACCCGGGACAGCCTTTTCAGGTCTTTTATGAAATCCTGTAACAGACACAAACCAGAGAACCCTTAGTAATAGAAACACAAGAGGCTGACTTAATTTTTCCATAAAGAACTTTACAAGGTTAAACATGTTGATGGTTTTCCAGTGCAAAAACCTAGAGGAACTACAGAATTGACTGCAATGATGAATGCCTGCAGACATTCTCATTCTCTCCTCTGATCCCCACACCCTTCTCAGACAAGATTGCTGCCACAATTTAAATGGTTTAAACAGCTCCAACATGCAAGTGCTCACCAGCCTTGGAATACTGTCCATTTTTAGCAAGGTATTTGAGCGGATTCCTACACTTTGATCGTGGCCAGAATAGTGAGACTCCTCTAGAACATTCCAACTGCTCTCACACTCTGGTGGTAGGAGGCACAGGGACTGAAGTGCAAGACTGGTCAGTTAAGATGCTTCCCAACACATCATTCTCAGCTGGAAGGCAGCAAGCACACTCAGGCTAGAACTGAGAACTGACAACTGAGCCAGCTGGTCTCCAAAGTGGTTTACAGTTTTCTTGGAAATGTTTCCACTGCAGGGCCAATGCTGGATTCACACAAGTACAGCTTTCAGCCAAACACTAGCAACAGAAACAAGCTTGTTGGAAACCAGTCCTTCCTTTGCATTAAGCAGGAACAACAGATGGGAAGGTTATGGGCCTTATCTATATTAAATAAAAACACAAGGATTTCCTGTTTACATAGCTGTACTTTTTATTTCACTTATTGTTCATGCATATCTAATTACTTACTGAGGGCCAAGGGAGCTCTTCAAGGATATGCAAGCAACTCTGGATTTCACTAGTTCTCATTAGTTCATGTTCTATAAGACCATGAAGCAGGAAAAGGAACAAATCCCACTGCACAAGAGAAGAAAATAATAACAACTCAAAAAAAATTGATTGTGTGCTTGTTTCTTTATCCATATATAATTCATGCTTTTCTTTTTGGATCAGAACATGGAAAAAAGGAGCAAGCACGTTATCTGTCTGTGTGTGACAATGAGGATAAGAGCAATGTCCAAAATGAGTGAACACAATTCCTTTAGTTCATACATTATCTTCTACCATAAAGTAGGTATATGGTATTATAAATTCTCAGTTTATAAACACACCAAGAATTTAATTCCTGCCCGATCAAGAGCGTGAAAAATTATTTATTTGATTCTTGAAATAAGCTGGGTTTAGCCTGCAATAAATAGGGTGATTTTCAGCTTTTGTTGGGGTGCTCATAACACCAACAGGCATGCAGAAATACAAGCTGGTAAAAGGCACAAGAACGCTACTGACGACAGTCACGTGTCCAGCCCTTGCAATATCCCAGGCCAAATGGGCCATTTTGCCATTGGCTCCAAACCAAAACTGTGCCTTCCTGAGAGCCCACCAGGCAGATACCAACCCCTGACAAGCTGTACACGTCCCTCTCCTTCACTGCCCTGCAGAAACAAGGCCAGCCAGCAGTGGCCAAACCCCGCTGGCCTCAGTCACACCAGTGAGCACTGCGGGCTGGCAGAGCTCCTGCACGAGTGCCAGCCTGCTCCACACATCAGAATGAGCTTTACCTCTCGCTGCTTGGCTTCGGCGAGATAACCCATGTTCTTCTTGCTGAAGATCAGCTGCACAGGCACAGATGTCCCAAAGTCCTCCTTCCAGATGGAGAACAGCAGCTTTAGGAGGCCGTAGGTGGGATTGTTCTTTACATGCAGCCTCTCAGGGCTCTTCTCTGGGGATTTGATCCCAAGACTCAGAGGAACACGATCTGAAACTAAGAGGAGGAGGAAAAATGAACTCCTATAGCTGCATGATTTCCTTTTATAGCCATCATCTTGGTTCAGCAGCACACTTAGGGAGTACAAACCAGTGAATCTAAGAGGAGTGGAGTTTGGAAATATTAGCTCAGTATTTCAAAATTAGGAGCTTTGAAACTATACAGACAGTATGACATAGGAGGAAATTTCTATTCCTCAGCAAAGAGCACCAATTGGTTGGAATATAGCCCCAAGTCACTGAAAGTCAGCCTAATATCTAGTCAAAGAGAACCTAGGTGTTACTGCAAAGGAGAGAAGAGTAGCACAGTTAAACATTTAAGTCTATAGACAAACTGAACAGTTGTCCATAGTTTAAACTATAGGCAGTTACATGACTTCACACAAGTGAAAGTAAAACTGAACAGTGCTTAACTGCAGATGAACACAAACAGAAGGAAGATAGCCGTTCTTCCTTGGTACAGTCTAATGGAATGGGACAGGTTGACACGGCTGCCCCCAGAAAAAATTCCACAATACTCAGATGTGAACTGCCTCATGGAAAGACAAATTATGTATAAAACTTCTAAAGCTGGTTCTAAACCCACAAAATTAGAAGGCTGCCCATGAAGAGCACACCTGCATTGAGATCACAAGCTCCTGCTCAGAGAAAAACTGTATTTACACATCAGAGCAAGAGAAAAAAACAGACTGAAAATGTTCACAGGAGTCATAATACACAGAAAACAAGTTACTTCCACTCTTTCCCTTAAAAAGCCATAAAAACATAATGTAATGGAAAAGGCCCTTACTTTTAGGGAAAAAAGCCCAAACTCAACCACAATTTTTCAGAGGCAGAAATACTGGAAAACATATCCCATATTTAAATTAAGGTGTCAATAAATAAAAAAACAACAGATGTGAAACAGATCAGAGAGATGGTTACTCACTGTACAATTCTGTTTTGCAGAATGTAAGAGGGAATAAGAGCAACCACCCAAATTGACAGAAAAAAGTCTTCAGACTCAGTGACACCAAAGAGAATTAAATATCCATGAGCTCTAAACACTTATATCTCTGACCTCAAGGGTCTAAGAGAACTGTAATAACAGATTTCAGTCTTAAATAGCTTATCATAACTCACCCAGCAAAGATGCCAACTCAACTGTGCACTTGGCCAGCTGTTGTTCTGATGTGGGACATATGAACTGGAAAATACAAAAAAAGTTATATTTTTCCCCACTACAGCACATTGGACAAAACAGAGCTTCACAAGGGATAAAAAATATCCAAGACGAGCAGGCAATTTACATCAAGAAGCACAGAGCTGTAATGAGGAGACCACTAAGACTAAAAGACAAAAAGGTCATGTATGAAAAGGGGATTCACAAAGGCAAACTGAAGTAACAAGCAGATCTACAGACTATAAAAGAATGCAGTGCAACATTGCCATATCTGAGCTGAAATAAAAACCCCTCAACTGAACTCAACTGTGAGGCAAGGCAAATTAAAAAGTTTACAGGTATCAAGACAGCCTGAAGTGATTCAAAGGGAGTTTATGTTGCTTTTTTACATCTTCTACCTTTCTGCATCGAAGTGTCTGACTCAGCCTTCCCAGCAAGCACTCCAGCCACATGTAGTCAACCACTTCACCCTCCTCCCGTGGGCCCACAGCAACACAGAGCACATCCTTGATGAGAAAGACAACAGTAACACACATTAGTATCCTGCTCTTCCACAAACACATCCTTGGACCTGCGACAGAGCAGTTCACAAATAGTTCTTGGGTCCTCATTAAAACCAGAACCTAAGTCAGTATATATACATTTCATAAGACAGAGTAAAGCTGATTTTTCACAACCTCACCAAGATCTCATTTTCTAGCAGTTCTCACTAATGTTACAAAGTAAAATTCAATGATGGCAACAACTTCATATTTCTTAAAAGTGAAGAAAAGCACTGAAAGCTGTAGATAAATTTCACAGCACAGCAAGCAGTTCAGGGTAGAAGTGCTACCCTGAAAATCCAGACCCCTGTTATACTGCCAAGGAAGCTTCAGTGCCAACCCAGAGGTTTCCTCACACAACTTACCCTCATTTTTTTATTTTAGCACAAGCAAGAAAGCATTAAAGGATGTGAACTCATTTTCACACAACTGCTGGGAAAGCAATCAAAGTGATAACCAGCATTACTTGTCTGTCAAGCAGAAGCAGTTGCAAAAAACATAGGCAGAACACATAACAGTAAAAGGTGAGGTGCTCAGAATTCTTTTCCTTATGGGTACACAGGTAAAATGATTGTGAAATTGCACACAATACCATGGGGTCCACACTGTGGTTTCCACCCTACTCATATCAAAAAGGCCACACTGCCATGCTACCAGAAATCCTGTATTTGAGACAGCACTCCTAACACGGAACTCTGATCTAGACACAGCAAGCAACTTCTCAAACCTGAGAACTTTTCATTGTGCTTCCTAAGCACTCCCAACAGCCACCTCCTCAGAACCAGAACATTCTCTTAAAGAAACCCCCCCACAAAAACACCAACGTAAAAAACAGAAAGGCAAGCCAGGAAGTGAATACCATGTACCTTAATCTCATTGATGATCTGGGAGGGAAATGGAGCACAGTGCTGGCAGCCTGGAGGACAGTCCCTTCTCAGCTCAAGAGCATCCTCGCTTGGCAAGGGAAATCCTGGGACTTTCAGCATTCTGTTGAAGGTTGCCTTCACTTCCCTTTTGATGAGTGCTATAGAGAACAAATCCTGTCTGATTCAGTTTTTTCTACACTGAAGCAGAGAATCATTTTCAAACACTCTTAGCCTCTCATTACAAGGGCCACAGCGAATAATGAAAAAAGACAGTTTACATTTTCAACCCACTCTCTCTGACCTCCCACTACATTTAATGTGCAGAGGCAAATGTGGAGAGGGTGTACTAACCCACAGCTGTAGAAGGCAGCTTCCCATCACTGCCAGGTACAACTGGCAACTCATCTCACTTCCCATAAAAATATTTCCATGGGTTTAATAAACACAGTAGCTAAGCCAGAAGGCAATGCCAAAGTAGAAAGCTGATTCACTGTGATCATACCAGTTCAACCACTGTATCCATAAAAACCATATGTCTTCTACCAAAATACATTTTGATCAGCATCCAAAACACTAAACTCCTGTGGCTGCAAATGGTACTTGGACATTCCTCCCCAGGCTTTTGGCATAACCTCTTGAAAAAATGGATTTTCAGAGACTCTGAAGATTTGCCAGTGCAGTATTACAGAATAAAATACATTTGCCTTCAGCCTGCAGAAAACACATCCAGTCCAAGAAGTGTTTGTTTTACAGGAGATTTCAGAAGCATTCTGTACATGTGAATCAATAGATGGCTTGAAAAGCAGTTGTCTGTATACCCTGGAAGTAAAAATCACTATCATGGGCCAAGCCAAAAAGATCCCTAAAGAAGGTTCTTAGAGCTAGAAATCATTTCTATTCTTCCTAACAAGGAGGAACAGAGCAACTACATACTTTCCACTAAAAGAAAAATGAGTAGGACCAAGTACTTTGTAACACTGTCTGTCCCTTGATCTCAGAAAAAAAGAGTACAATGCACAGGTTAGAAGTTCCAGTTCAAGGTAAAAGCTCACCTGCAATGTTGGCAGAGAGCCAGCCACAGGCTCTCTCGGTAGCCAGTTCCACTGCAATGTTTTCTGCACTACTTAAAACCTTTACAGGGAGGATAACAAATGATAGGAGATTTACTATCAGCCACAGCACTGCAGTCAGTGAAAATTCAGAAAGAAGTCTGGAAGAAACAGCTTAATTTTGGCATGCAACAGTTAAACTGAACACCACCACCTCTATAGAAACAGCTGGTTTGAGCAATACAACTGACCCATCTTGATTTTCCAAAAACCTCATCAACTCTTGTGGAAGTTGATGCTAAAACAAATGCATTATCATTGCAAGTTAAATGCAATTTCTATAGCATTCTAGCCTCATTAGTCAGCTATGAGCTGGAGTATCACTTTACCCAGAATATGCAAGGCAGCCCTGCAGAAGTGACTCTTCTTAGCTATCTCTCAGTCCTCCCATGAGGGCATCAATAGATTTCTTTACCTGAGCTATTAAGGGATAAGTGAAGCAGCAATGGAAAAATGGTAATGATCCAGACTTAATGTCGAGGCTTTTAGTAAGTTTTAGGGAAAATACATACTGCTGCAGATGTCTCTTCTGGCAACAACACCCTTACTGCCTCAGGACCTTTTTTTTTGCAAAATCTACAAGAAAAGGAAGAAAGTATGCCACAGATTAGTCCAAGTTCTTGGACAACACTCAGAGGTTCATTGTGTAGCAATGCAATAAATCAGACTAAAAGAACCAGACAAGGAAAGGGTAATTACAAGCAACTAAGGTGCAATATCAATTTTCCAAAGGGGAAATACAATAGCTGCAGCGGATGTCTGTTTGGAGCAGAGGGACACACAGCACCTTTATTCCTTCCCACAAATGCAGTCTTAGCTGGCTGGAGCACAGCAGCACTCACCATAAGAAGAGTAAAGGGCATGGTTTATAATTACCAGAACCTGAGCATGACAGGCCAAACTAAATTAGGCTAACAGATTCTGCAGTAAGAAGAGATAGGAAGGCACACATTTAAATAACTTTTCCTCCTTACTCTCTGCCTTTGATGAGTGCCTGGGCCCCTTCCTCATACAGATGAGTGCACACCTCTTCAAGCAGTTTGTCATGATTAACATCCTCCTCCTTCACTTTATCTTGCAACATAGCTTCAGCCCTTTGAACTAGCTCTGCTACCAGTGTTGCCCTGCAACAAAATGAAGAACAATCAGGCAGATTGAATCAATACAAGAAACAATGCACACTAAGTGTACCCAGCTCTTCTCCCCTCTTTAGACCCATCTCAAATGCAAAAAGTCACTCTGCTAAAAACTAATTAATCGGGCTGTGTCACATCTGTATCATCTCCTTGTTCTGTGTGTATGGAAGACAACAGCAATGAAGACACCATAACAGTACTAAGATTCAAGAGTCAAAAGCCTTTAGGTTTTACTAAAAACTTCTTTGGTTACAGGTCTCCTTTGTGGCAGCAATACCTTGTACACTCAGCTGACAGTGCTCAGGAGCTCAAAGATGTCAGCAGCAGCCCACTACAACCACCATTTCTTAGGGGCTGGTAACATTTAATGGCTTCAGCAAGTTGGACAACAGAACAGTGCAAACTGAGCAAGCTCATGAGCTGGAGGGCAGGGCTGCCACACAGGAGGGCTGTGAAAAGAGGAAGAAATGGGCTGACTGCACACCTGTCCAGGCTGGGGTCTACTGGCTACAGAGCAGCTGCACAGAAAGGATCTGGGGGTCCCACAACAAGAGAAGGGAGTTAGGAGTGTCCAAAGAAAGCCAACCTTATACTGGGCTGACAATAGCAACAGTGCAGCCAGCAAGTCAAGGGAAGTTACTGCTTCCCTCATCACTGTGAGGCTGCATCTGGAGTAGTGTGTCCAGCTTTGGGATCTCAGGACAAGAAAGCCATTGACAATTTGAGTAACTGCAGGAGAAAAGAAAAAAATTATTAAAATAGCTGGGATGCTGGAGCACACACCTACAAGGGGGAGTCAGTTTCACCTAGCCTGGAGAGAAGAAAAAGCTGAAGGGAGAACGAAATTTACAGAGAAGGCAGAACTTCCAGGAAGACCACTGCTAAGATTGACAGGAACATCCACAAGCTGGAACAATGGATAGATATTCTGGTAGGATATAAGGAAACACTTTTCACAAAGCCTGAGAAAATTAAGCATTGGACATGGTAGAAAGAGGTGGCTGAATCCTCATCCTTAAGAGATGGAAACTTTTCCAGCTGGAAAAGGTGCCAATAAACCTGACCTAACTTGAAAGCTGTGTCTGCTTTGAGTGAGAGTTTGGATCAAGTGACCTCCAGAGGTCATTTCTGATATGAGATTTTCCTATCATTAGCAAGTATGCTCTGAACAGGTTACAAAGTCTCAATGCTGCACTGCATTCACATAGAAAATGTCCCACAGAAGTATCCCCCTCCTCTCCACATTCCTTCACAAATTCCCCTCTACAACAGCAGATGTTGCTGGTCAGTCCTACACAGCCCGTGTTCCTACACAGCCTTGGTGTTCTGCTACACAGCACAGCCCCAGGGAAGCTTCTTTCCTCCATACACACAACTTTAAAGGATCAACTCTTTGTCTAATTATAATGTAAAGTTACTTCTTAAGTCACAGAACAGGTGACCAGCACTTACTTGATGTGCTTAACACAGTTGGATCCCACCCTCTCTGCCACAAATTCCACTGTTCTCCGTAGGGAGGGAGGCTGGTTGTGGAAGAAGGCCTGCTCCAAATCTATCTGTTCAAGAGAAAGCACTAAATTGATTAGAGCACTCCACCCAGAGCCTCATCTCACCAGGAATGGACAAAACCACCTTCTAGAGACAAAAAGACAGTTTGCCTCCACTAGAACTTTCTGATACTGTAGCATTCATCATCCCAGTTTTACTCCTTATTCCCTTCTAACCACTTAAGGCTTATTATCAGGGTTTCTGAAGCTACAAAAGACCTGTAAAGGGAAATGGGAGAGTTCTGATGGTATCTACTAGTAGTGAGTCACCACAGATGGCTTCTTTTGGGAAGAACAAGCCCTTTTACAGGCTGGTAATCCTGTAAGCACCTACGCACGTCCTCCTTTCAGTGGAAAGCATGGCTACAATCTAACCAAAACAAAGTATGAGAAACATAGCAACGTTTTATGGTAAAGAAGAGGGAAACAAATACGACTAGTTGGCCCAACTGCAAGAATGTTTACAGAGGTTATCTGGATTTCAGCACCCACACCATATCCCTGCCACATGACTGTAAAAATGGGAGTAAAGATACCTGACTGTTAAACACAATGTTCCCCTACTGTCTAGGTCCATTCTTTCCCTGGCACTAAGAGACCACTGTATAACCCTACACTCACACAAACAAATTTCTCCTGCCCCTTTCCCCCTTGTGACTCCCTAATTTCATTACCTGCAGTTTCCGCTGCGTGACAGAAGCCTTGGGTGCTAAGGACTCTGCAGCTGTGGGAGTGATTTTCCTCATAAAACCACCATTTTTTCCTCCACTACCAGACACAAAAGAGGCAAGTAGTTTACGCAGTTCACCTGTACAGGAAAACATGCAAAAGCAATCATCAACCCCATAAGGAAGGAGAAAAACTAATATCAAAACTCAAGAGACTTTCACTTTTCCAGTCCTGTTCCCAGAGCAGATTCTCTCAGCTTCTACAAAAGCAGAAGCTTCAGTGAAGCAGAGGGGCCATCCCACACACATAACTGGCAGGGCACAGCAAGGCTCTGAAAAGAGGAAACTTCTGAAAAGCCCCCCAGCAGATGGGACTTGTTCAGAAGGATGAGGGAGCAGTTATTTTCGTGCATTCCTTTTTAGTGTGGCAAGCAAGAACTGTAAAGTCTACAAGGACAACAAAGGGAGCAGTTACACAAAATTCCAAGAGTCAGGAGCAAATCCTGGGGGAAAAGCTGGACAACCTATTCACCCCAGAAGTTTTGTGATACAGGTTTAACATACAGTTTTCCTACTAAGTCCCAAGAAGAAGAGCACCATCTCCCCATCTGGGACTCTAATATTTAGTCTACAGAGAGGAATTTTACAATTGGTAGACAGATCCCATGGAAAACCAGGGCACAAAAAGATTCTTCCCCTCTGCCTGGCAGCAGAAATCTGCTCAAGGATCAAGACACTCCTTGCAGCACAAACACCTCTTCCTAGACCTAGGATAGAAAAGCTGTGTTGTTATAATGCTTCCTTACAGCTTGTGAGCGGTGGCTTCCCCTGTGCCTCTGGATTCAAGGTCTGTGGATCAACTATCCTGACTAGGTAACCTCACTCCCCCAGCTTCACCAGATACTATCCACAGCTGCAGGAGTTTCTGCAATACAGCTTCTTATCACAGTTCTTGCATAAACAACTGAGACCTTAAGTTGTGAAGACGAGTAAGAAAGGTGATCCAAGGACTCACAGTACCAAACAACAAATATAAACAACTGAATAAATAAAAGTAAGTACATACTAATATATTTTATGTATATAGTAAAAATAAGTAAAATACTTACCAAGATAGGGACAGCAGGTATAAAGTAATTGCTGATCCACCAAGGGTACAAAGTCCTGGTGAGAAAATGAAGGAAATGCTGAAAGGACACAGCACAAAATAAAGTCTTCAAGTCAGAAATCCCATACATGCAGTCACAGGCAGGTTTCAGGGCTACCTTTCCATGAAAACAATAGCTGGATTCCAAATACACAGTAAAATTATGAACTTTGCAGCCCAAGTGTTCAGTCTCTGTAACACAGAATGAGCTGCTCTTCATTTTATTAGTGTAGCTCAGCCTTTGCTGCTGATCACTAGTAAAGCCCAGTTGAAAGCTGCGTTTAAGAAGGGAACCAAGACTGTTGCCACAGCTTCTACTCACAAGGGAGAAACCTTTCCATGGAGGAAAATAAATGAGGCACATCTGCTATGCATTACACCTCCACAAGTGCCTTCATCCAGACTCCCTGGAGCACCACGCCATGGAGAAATGTCACCTCAGTATTAACACAGCACATGCAGGGCCAATTGAGGAACAGGAATTTCAGATCCCATCCACCAAGGAGATGTATCTTAGCATCCATACCACTTTTCCATGGAATACTATATGTCCCCTTACATGTCTAGGAATCATCTGAAACATCACACCCTCACCTCCTTTCTTGCATGCTCATACCGCTTTCAGTTCAGTCACCCTTTATCATGACACTGGAAAACGGGTGATCTCACAAACAGCAACCCTGCTGTTACAGTCCCATCTTTCTATTTCTGTTCACCATTACTTTTGCTTATTTCTGGGAAGGGCTACAGTTCTGTCAGCTCACCTTGCAGGAAAACAGCATCTGATCCTCCAGCATAACTTGGCACCTGTTCTGCAAATTATTGCAGCAGGTGAGATGGCTCCTGCCTGACAGAAAACCCAGAGCTGCAACACAGAGTTCACAACCCCTAACACAGACCCAACTGAGGCCTTTGGACAAACTGGGCATCACATCCATTGGCCTCCATATGCTCAGTGCAGCTGCCCTGAAGCCAAGTTCTTGATGAAATCTGACCGCTCCTGAGGAAGTGGTAGGTCCATCTTCCCTCACTGATTCAGAAGACATGCTGCTGCACTAACTCACCAAAGCCTGAGCAGATGTCACAGTATCCATCACAAATCTCTCCTGCCTGTCATCAGCAGTAAAAAACAACTCTTCAGGGACTGATGGAACCTGAAACAGAAAACCCAGCAGCTGCAACTCAAAATGCAATCAGTAACTTCCACCATTTCTGATAACAGGACAGTAAAATCTCACCACCCTGTCTCCCACAAAACATAATCCCTAGCACTAAAGGATCCTCTTGCCCTGAAGAGAACTTCCCATAAAATTAAAGACTTCCTTATTTTAATCACAGTAACAAAAGCCACCTTTCTTATCCTCCCCATACAGCATCTTCCACATTTCCAACAGGTTCCTGCTAAGTAATTACCTTGCTTCCAACTGGAGGCACAAAATAATTTTAAAAGTTCATCATACACCATCCCTCTATCTAATAAATTCCTCAGCAATTCAAGGCTGACAGCTAGCACACCATCTTTGTGACAAGAGCTTCCAGGTCTAACAGGAATCAGCTGTCAATTTTCTTGCAAGGTTGCAGATTAGTAAATACAGAATGTATTTCAGATGCAATTACAATTCCTATTGGAAAAAAATTGTTGCTTCACACAATTCCATTAAAGGAAAATAATTCTCCACTAAAATACAGTTATTCTTTACACCCCACACCAGTGTAAAAAACCCAAGATAAAACAACAAACAACTGTATTAAATTGTTTTAATTAATTTCAGTACTATTTTGTATTGAGTTCTGTGCCCTGCCTTTTCTTCAGAGAAGAGTTACATGCACAGAGGAGATTCTACCTGAAAAAGCCAACCCAGAACTGCAAGGATCAGCAGCTTGTTCAGGAAGCTCATCTCCTTGTCTTCAGAAAGGACCATTAACCTGCCATGCAGAAGAAGCAGCAAGACAGAGTGTCAGTTTTCAGCAGCTCAATCTTCATTAAGGAAAACGTTGCCAAACCATTCACTTACCAATTACACTATCTATATACCATGAACACATGTGTCTGCCTAAAGGATTGAGAGTAAGCTCTACTTTGTTGTATGTACCTGCATAACATCCTGTCTTAAGTTTACACTAGACAAGCCATTCTCTAGAATGTGCTTCAAATTTTCCTCATGTATATAGGAAAGAAAATTAGAAAATTATTTAGGCATTGGAAACCTTGTAGGTTTAAGGTCAAAATTCAAGCTGCAGCTTGAAGGTCAATCACAGCTGCAGATGTAGAGTGATCAAGTGGGATTTAAAGATTTTGTTTACTTAATAAAAACCACATATTTGAATCAAGTATTAATCCCCAAGTTTAGGCTGTGTTCTCTTTGCAGTTTTATGTAAGATAAAAAGTATGCATGATTTGCACCACAACAAAAAAAAAAAAAATCAAACATTCACTGAAAAGTTCTTTACAGATATATTTTTCCAGGCTCTTACCTGTATACCTGCAGCAAGAGACCAAACACTTTCCTGTAATAATCAAGGAAAGGAGCAATATGATCCACAAGGGAAAGGTACTCCACAATCCAAGGAATAGTGAGGACAGAACGTTGATCCCGAATAGATTGTCTCAGAAGCTTTAAGATATCCAGTACAGGCAGGGTCTTAAAGGACAAGAGAAGTTAAACCAGCAGCTTGAAGTTATCTCTTGCTACTTATAGAAGAACTTTTGTCTATATCTTGACTTTTCTTTCTAGGATTTCATCTTCTGTACTGGTGACTTCTGGCTAATGAAAACACTTCTTTGTACATGACCAGAGGTAAAAACCAAACTGTGACTGCAACCAAAGGTCCCACTGGGACTTTCAAAAGCAAGGCTAAAAGCCTGACTATGTACAAAGTGGAGTCAAGGTCTATTGCTTCCATTCAGTGACACACTGCTGGGAGATGGGCGCAAAACTAACACAACCAGTCCTGGCAGCTGGATTTTACACTATAAATATGAGTTGTCTTAGCTAGATGAAAATTTTGGTATGACAGACTCAGATTAGCAGAAATAACAGAAGACTGAGTACCTTAACATTGGTGCATTGTTCCCTCTTTTTGAGGTTACACAAATTCTTTTTTCCTTTGTTCCCAACCCCAGAATATGCAGCAGGGACACAGGACCATACAGCATCATCCCAGGAACCACTGGCTCACTTTGAAAGTGCATGACTACCACAATCCTCCTCGGGCTAGAAGTTGCCTGTCCAGCAAATGGCAGTGCTCTTTCTTACTTGGTTTCTCAGTGCCAGCGCAGAATCCTGCAGGTCTCTGGTTGGCTGCTCTGCAGTGCGATAGGGCAGGAAAACAAGGAACCCCAGGAACTTGGCGAGGAGTCGGAGACTCAACAGGGCCATGGTGAAACGCTTCTTTTCATCCTAAAATGAAGAAAAGTGAGCTGAAGCAACGCTAGCCTACACTGGCAAAGCAAATGTCTCTGTTAAACTTCCATTCCTTTCATGTAAAGGGGCCACGTAGCTTCATCACTGCTTTTAATAAAGGTAAGTTTCCAAAATATATATTTATCAAGTATTTTAAATTGCTTCTGTCTCCATTGTTTCACCTCTTCACAAGAATGAATTATTCAAGAGCTTTCTAAAACAAGCAGCTGCTCAATCATATCTTTGCGTTAAGAACTTTGGAGTCAATGACAGGCAGAGCTGATCTCACATTGCCTCCTTTACAGCACTACCACTCTGCAAGTCTCCATCAACCTTCGGCTGCTCCTTTGCTAACAGACTATAAGCTGTGACACCTCTGATATGCAGACTTGAGTGAAGAAACACCAGTACACCTATGAACAGGGATGACTACAAATCCAATGTAACTAAAGTCTTTCTATATGGAAAAGTAACAAGGAACTTATTGCAATGGGGTGCTACAACTGGATATGGTTATTTCATTGATCTAGAACAAGTTATAACAACCTAAGGAGAAGGCTTTCACTTCCACAACTAGTCTGCACTCATGACAGTTCTATGAAGCAGCCTGAAGCATGCAGGTTAAGTGGCAAGGGGTTCAGACAAATAAGCAATTTGCAGAGTTATGACAAAACCAAATGAAGCTCTTGTCCTGTAAAAACCGTGGTGGAAGCTCCAAGCAACTCACAATCAAGCCAGTAATTGTTTGACTACTGGAACAGCTCAGAGAAATTCCTGACAGATGTGTATGCACAAAGCAAGCCTACCTGTTCCTCCATGTCTGCTTCCCCATCACTGTGCTCGTGCTCCACCAGAGTAAGACCATTCAGTTCAAGTATCTTCAGGCACAGACTATCCATCAGGTGCTGATTGAACTGGTAACTTCAGCAAAAGATGATGAGTCAGACTGGGCTGAAAACAGCAGTAAAACCTCAACTAACACACTGCAGAATTTTAAGCTTGTCTCATGAATTGTAACAAGCTTGAACAGACATAAACATAACACACTGACAGACAAGAAAGTAAGAGAGAAGACTTAGGACTGGCTGACCACCTTCATTTGCACTCTTCTTTTGTACTTTTTCAGAAATGCTAAGTAACAAGTCTCAGCATAAGGATAATAAAATTGATCTGCCAAAGAAGGAATCTATAAAATAACTGAATTTAAGATTAAAATCTCACATAAATTACAATTCCCCCATGCTGTGAATTGTGAAAAAATTATTAAACAAAACCATGAACCTGGCTTCATCCTGTACACCTTGGCTTCATGCACTATCACACAAGAAGCATTTGTCCAGTCCAGTGTCCTTGCTAGGTAGCACTGCATGCCTTGGCACTGAAAAATGCTGACAGCTCCAAAAAATATTAAGGTTTTATAGAAGAAAAATCATTACCACATAATCCAGTCCCAAACTTTCTGGATAACTCCCTGCTGCAAGAGAAACACACTGGTGCTTCCATTGCCCACACATTTTAGAGGGAGTAGCAAGCCCAGGCCACTCACCTTCCAGCACTGAGGATGAAGTCCTTGAAGAATTGCTGGCACCCTGGGAACGAAGGGGGTGGACAAGGCCCTCTGATGCTCTGAGGCACAACAAATCTTTCCTGCAGCCTCTTCAGACGGCTCAGATTATCAGAGCCCAGCATATTAAGGACATCCTGGTCTGGGGTGTCTCCCCAGCTTGCACCACCACCAATAGGACCTTTGCACATCTTTAGGAGACAGAAAGAGCAGAGAGGTGGAATATTTATAACAAGGCATCATTTCACTTCATCTCTCACCCAGCATATTATCCCTTCCCCACAAGACTGTTTTTGGAGTAATTCATGCATGATCTTTCCTGGTGTCCAGGAACATACAGAACAACTCTTCCCCATACCAAAACATGCTACCCACCTTGGGTGGGTATACACATACACAGCCATACACAGCCTAGAGGTCTTGTGAGATGGAACTCCAATCCTACACATCTAACTAGGACATATCCAGCAGGCTACGTGTGGATGTGTGGAGAGAATACCTATTACTCTCATGATCTCCATGAACCACTCCATAGGATCTTCAACTCAGTCTCCAAGGCCCATGATGCTGCATTACACATTCCCAGAGAAGGTTTTCCTGAACTTCCACATAGTTAAACAACATTTAAAAATTAATGCCCCACTGCCTCAAACACACGGATACAACTCAAGACTCAAAGAATTACAGAACTGCAGAACTGTTAAGAAGGGGCCTCTTGGATCATCTAATTCAACCCTCTTGCTCAGTCAGGGTCAGCCTCCTGACCTGTCAGTGAACACTACTGAGAAAAATCTCACTCCCTCCTCTTCATTCCCTTCCAGCAGGTACTTATTCCCTTCCAACAGTGCTAAGACAACCTGGAGCCTTCTCTTCTCCATGCTGAATACTCCCAGGTCTCAGCATTTTTTCTCATACAAAAAATGCTTGGTGCCTTAATCATTTACACAGTCCTGAGCTGGACTTGCTCTAGTAAGTCTGTATCTTTCGTTCCTTGTGCCAGTGAGCCCAAGCCTGGACACAGCACTCCACACATAACCTAGCAAATACTCAGCAACAGGAAAAGTTGACTGCATATCCCTGCATCTAAGTCATGATAGTTTTAATGAGCGAGATCATAATAAAAAGAAGCAACATATAAGAATGTCTATCAAGTGAGCAAGTACTAGGCTCCTTTATTCCAAACAGAGCATCCTCACCTCCCCAAGGGAGGAAACAAAAATTCTCCCTGAGCATCGCAGAGCAAACAGCTCTAGAGATAAAAAGAATCTCTTCCTTTCCTTCAATAATGTTGCTATTTAGAAAAAAGATAACGCAGTTTCCCAAGCACTGAGCCCCACCTGCTGCTGACATGGAAACAAAAATTCTCCCTGAGCACTTGCAGAGCAAACACAGCTCTAGAGATAAAAAAAATCTCTTCCTTTCCTTCAATAATGTTGCTATTTAGAAAAAAGAATAAACTCATTCAGCTCCCACTCTTCCCTGCCCAGAACAGTAAGGTGAGAGTTCACATATATGGAAGTAAGGAAACAGCAAAAGTGTTATTACTTCTGATGCCCCAAAATTTCTCAGTTTAAGCCTCAGCCTTGTTTTGTTCTTGTGGTGAAATGCCACCTACATACATGTTACTTGAGTAGGCTGGTGGTTGAGACTAACACAGAAACCCACAAGGCAACTGCTCTCAATGCTATAATAGTTTCTTTCTATATACTGCATTTTGATAAAGCAATACATGAATAAAACAGTCTGCTTTCCACAGAAAGAGACACAGTTGTCTTGTTTTCAGAGCCAATGCACTAGACCCCCTGAAATAATTAGAAGAGTGAACAGCTTCTGAACATGTAACACACTTCTCCTCACTGAAGAGGAGCCAGACATGGAAAACATGACATGCACACACAAGTGTATACAATAACAATGTTCAGACAACAATACACTGGTTTTGAGGGTAGCTCTTTCTGTGATTATGAAAGGGAAAGATGAACATCAGGACTGATCAAATTACACCCCTGCCACTTATGGCTTGTTTCTTTAAGGTAAAGGTTGATACTTTTAAATTCAGAAGCAACTGCACATGGGCAGCCTCTTCCAAGCAGCACACAGCACCCTGCAGAGTTGTGCAGAAGACCAGGCAGGACCTGGAACTAAGGATGCCAAGTGCAGCATGATTCACCAGCAACTCAGCTACATTAAAGAGCTAGCTAAAGTTGCTTAAGACTCCTACCTGATCTTGCTGCCCAGAACTCTCTCAAAGTCCCAGCCAGTTTTCTCATTGTTATCCTCCCATTCACGCAGAAGTTCATAAAATATATCCCTGTGAATCAAGATATTTAAGGGAATGAATTCCCACTCTTCAAAATTTGAAGCAACAACTGAACATTAATTGCTCCAAAGCTTCCCAGCAAGAATCTACCTCAGATTAAGTAACTCCAGCCTCCAAGCATTCAGATACCTTTGAAAAACTCATAAATGTTAGCAGTACTTCAGTGAGCTTCCATTTTCCATATCTTTGACAGCAAGTGCTTAAGCTTGTTATGCCCAATCTATGATGGAATGACCAAAACAGCCATTACCAGACAGACATAGTGAAGACTGAGAGGCAGCAAAGAATAAGCCACATGAAGTAAAACCTATGAGAAAAAGAAAAGGACCAAGACAACTCATCATTCTGCCCTCACCCTGTCGCTGCAAGCATGGAGGGAGGCAGCAGGAAGAATAAAAGCATACCAGATATATATGCAGAAGCAATCCAGTAGGGTGACACACTGTACTGGCATTATCAGAAGTCTCAATAACTCCTGAAGAATTAGGCTGTTCTTCTCTAAAGACATTAACCATTTAGTTCCTGCAGTCAATATGGACAAAGACTTTTTTTCATTTAATTAGAGCAAAAAATTCAAGATTTTTTCTACAGCATGTAGCATATATGAGACATTCTTAATATCTTTTAGTCATAATCATGCAAAGGTTATAGCCTCGAGCATCCAGGAACAGTAGAAGAAACTTACCTTTGTTTCTTAAATATGTGAAATGCTCTGTCACTGGGAAAGTTAGAGCGATTATCAGTTTCTGGCTGAAAAGAAACAGACTGTACAGAGCATGGCAGCAGGAGAGACACCTGTTAAAAATATAAAGGCAGCCATTAAGCTAGTGGAAGTCTCTAAACAATCTGAGACCAAGAAAAAAGCAGGGAAAAGGCATGGTGAGGAAACAAGTATCACTAGCTGAGTTGTTCAGACATGCTACTTCCCAATTGCTAACTACTAGCAAACACCAAGTTTTACAACCTACATTAGGCTACAGAAGCAGAATCACTCAAGGTTAAGAGAGAAAGTATCTGGTCCCCTTAAATCTCTGGCGACCAGATTGTAACCAGTATTGATAGAGTGTGTGGAAAGACCCACAAACAGTTGAAGTATACCTTCAATATAGGGCTTGAGAAAATTCAGGATCCTGGCTGGTAATTTCAGAAAGAGTGTTACCTCACTCTTTTCTCCTTACTGTTCCTCAAGTAACAAGACCTTTATTTACAACTTTAACAACTTTAAAGCTCAGCTACTGACAAGTCCCAATCTCAGTACACTGTCCTTTGTTTGCCAAGAGTAATTTCCATTTTTAAAAGATGGATGAAATGAGATACAAAATACATTTCTACCATCCAATTCCTACCAACCAAACTGGTTCCCTAACCCAGTTAATCACATGAGGGAGCCATTTTTCCCAGTCTGGATTGTCTCTTGTGAAATGTTATTTGCCTAAAAAGAGTCCATATCTATGAAAGAAATACAAATCTTTGAAACTACCTTCTGATATTGCACTTAACTAATCATTCTCCTGGGATGTTTATTAGGTGAGAATTTCAAAAGCAAAACTTGACCCTATCAAAGTCTCTGGCTGAGGTCAGGGCCTGGAGCAGAATGTAAGGCTAGCCAGCAGTGATTCACAGCTAACAATCACTGGACCCAGCAACTCACTCACCCAGTGACAAGAAAAATAAGTAGCTTTTAGACAGTTTCTAAAGACAACACAAGAAGACTAAATAGAAGGAATGAGATTCAACATCAAAGCCATTGCAAATAAAATAACAACAACACAAAGGCTTGAAGCACTGTCAGTTGGGTTCTGCCAATTTTTACCTTAGCTGTGCTGCTTTCATAAGCCTGCCTGAGCCTCTTGTGCAAGGTGGGAGAAAACGATGCAATCCGCTCATTTTCGGCCAAAAGCTTCAGCATCCCCTTTTCTAAATGGGAAATAATTCTGCCAAGATAATGGGGATGAGGCTCAGAGAGACAGACAGACAAAAGCAACACTTGAGCAGTTCTAAAGAAATGCTTATGTTCACGTTTTATGATGCTGCCAAGTAAAGAGTTCTAAAGGACTTGCACCCAGCAGGAAATCCTACTGGTATCTGCATTTGTTATCATTCTCATCTCATGACTTTCCCATTCTTGCACAATTACAACAAAGTTCAGTGGACACATCAGTGCAAGGAAACCCACAGACATCCAAATCCAGCTCAAGTTGTACGTTTTGAAGAAAAATTAAGAACTCTGTGCCCTTAAGTGGTAAAGTTCTACAACCCAAGCACACTTGCTTAATCCCACACACAACTGCAGACACGAGCAGATGAAAAAAGAATTCAACTCACTCATATTGATAATCCAAGACTCGAACAGCAAAATAAACACAATTGTGCACACTTTCAAAATGCTGTCTCCCTGAAACATCTAAGAGGAAAAAAAACCATGAGACAACAGTACCTTTTACCATTTATAAACTAAAGGACCAACAATTAACTTTTAAGGAAAGTAGGAACTGACATATCCAAGAATAATCTTCCAGACCCCTATTCAATTTTCAGAAGTTCCCATTCCCTATCCTTCCTATTTTAAAGGCAATTGAATTGTTTAATGCTGTATGGGAAAGAAAAGACTCTTTCTTTGTCAATGTTCTGAACAACAGTAAGCACATGCAGGACAAGAAAAGTAGAACAGCTACAAACAATCATAAAATGGTGTTCCCATAGCTGAAGATTTCATGTTCCTAATCACAGCCCTAAGAATCAAAGAGTAGCAAAACAAAGGTCAATCAAATTGAGACATTTTGGGTGGAGAAGGGTGTGGTGGGGCTCATCCCAAAGCCACTCTTTTGGCTGTACTATCCATATCAAAGTACTAACCGCATCAAGCTTAAGGCTGAATTTGTCAAAAAATAAATGCAACAATATGGCTGGATCCTGTGCATTCAGATCCAAATCTGCAGCTTAATAAACACATAGCAGGTCAATAGCACATCTGAGTTGCAGGATCAATGGAGAAACAACACATCTGCACTTCCCTCTAAAAGTCAGTGTTAGGAAGTAGCTACAGCAAATCTTGCACAATAGCAGAAAACTAGATTCAAACAGTGACTAGCAATCCCACTCTATCATATTGTGGAAGAGCTTCCCATATATGCATGACTTTTGTCAGCATCTCAGATGAGTCCCACAGTGGTAATAAGGCATTGTCATGTAATTTAAGAATAACTGTCCAAGCTACTCTACAACACTTTCTCATTCTATGGAAGCACTATTCTTTCTTTTCATTACTACTCCTTACCTCTATTTCTTTCACCGATTTCAGGGTCACTATCCCCATCTTCTGCAGAAGAAGTGCCTTTAGATGTCAACAGTTGCAGAACAAAAAACAGTTCCAGAAAAATATTTGGTACCAGGTTTTCTGGGAGAGAGTAATTGACATGTTAAAGGTGGATTACTCAATACTGTCCTGCTTTAATACACAAAGGTAAAAAGATCGATTACTGTTCTGTGGTAGTCAGCAAAGAATTGTCTCCCCACAACATGATACTGTGATACAATGTAGATCAGCATGAGAAAGATGTGTTAGGGAATAGCCTGGTTTCAGATGGGACATACAAATTCAGTCTACTACAGCTCAGAGTACTGCATCAAGCTCACCTCCTTCCCTAAACTTTTACCAAGCATTAATTTATTTTAATAACTGTATTGGCTTACTTTATTCTTCCAGATGTGATTTGTTTGTACCCTATAACTATCCCACAGCTTCCACTTCCCATTTATCTCCCTCTCACAACACACACAAGTTCAAAGCTCAAAGAAAGGTCAGTCTCACATCTTCTGTGTCCTCACCTGCTATACACGATGAATAGAGCTGTGCCAGACACTCCAATTGTTTCTTGCAGGAAACCTTAGCAGGATTTGCACAGGTCACCAAATGGCTTTCAGCAGGAAGGCTGGCACTGCGAGTGTAGCTAGGCTTAGTTGGAGTACAAGGATCAAAAGATATCCCTGCAGGAGAAGACGCCTGGTGCAGCAATTTGCATCTGAAATTCAAGAGCAGCAACATAACCATGTAATTGAGGATGATCTACAGCAGCCATGCAGCCAGAAGAGATCTTTCTCTCCCAGTGTAGCGTGAAGGAAATCCTGCAATAACTAAATCACGTCATTTACACTGTCTAATGCAGCTTTTAGCATGACAGTAATTTAAGTCATCCTTCTCTTACCAAAAATAAATCTTGGGGTTAGCAAGCAAAAGACTAAAGAACCCCATTCAAATTCCAACTCTGTTAAAATAGTGTAGCACTTTGACCAAATTAACCAACTAACATATGTTATTGCTTCTCTCATCTGAAGTGGTACCTGTTAAGGACAGGGAATCTGTTAGAGACCAGGTCCTAAAAATCTTCTTTGGATGTACAGTTTCTGACAGCTAGAAATTTTAAAACATCTATGAAAATAAGGTTTACATCCATCCCTTTGGCATAGATGTAAAGTAATGACACCCTGAGAAGACCCAATACCACTTAAGTGGAAAGGCAGTGCAACAGCTGATGAAATGTGTACTGGCAAGTTAAACAACAGAAGGAACAAGCTACTTTGACTGCTGGATTCTAAATCAACAATGATCACTCAGTTAAATACACAGACATTGTACAAAACTGTATCTAGAGAGGTCATCCAAAATGCAACACCAGACTGGCATACGTAACACACATGAGAAACAGGACATGAGGCAGTAACAGAAATATTAAATTATTGTAAAAGATTCCAGTGGAACATTTACACTTGAAACATCACACTACCTCTTGCCACGGTGTCTCAAAAGTGAAAGATTTAAGTGTCACTTTAAGGACTTTGGGAAGTCAGAAACATTTTTACCTGCAGCAAAGAACCTTTTTTATTGGCCTATTTCTAGCAGAACTGCTGTGATGAAGAACAACTGGTTCCAAAATGAAAGTAGAAAGATTACCAACAGCTTACTTGCAATGAACATAATCAACCAACTGCAGAAAATTATTGAGTAACAGAGAGAACTGCAGAAAATAATTCATTAAGTACTTTGTGATCTCACCCAAGGGGAGAGCCCACCACTAAACATTTTGTGACCTTACCCAAGGCAAGTTTCCAATAATGCAGTTAGACTGTGCTTCACTTCTGCCCAGTGCTGTCATCTACCTCAGGATGAAATTCACCTTTTGCCCTTGCTCAAAGGGACCCAGCTGGCTGAAGGCTGCCTTACTTCTGTAATTCACCTCAGCTGAGGACACAGCAGCAACTCCAGCTTTCAAGTGTGAAGGGTCAGATGAGAATACCACTGCATGGGCAAGATCCAACCAACCACATACTGCTATTTCACTGACTTCAGCTGATACACATTGTTGGGACACTTCAGGTAGAATTCAGACTGGTGCTAGACTTAAGTGCAGAGTGACAGGTTTGATCCTGAACATTTCTGCTACAGGCTCAGCACAAGCAGTAATTCATTAGACTCTACTGGGTATGTTTCAGCCAGTTCTGGTCCCACTGCAGTGAACTGCAAAACTTAGCAGGAAAAGAATTACACCCATGTGTCCTGAGGAATTTCCCCAAAAACAAAACCTACAAATAACAGCAACAGCTCTCTCAGCAATTATACACAATAGTGCAAACTACTGCACTTGGGTTTTTTTCTAAGTATCAATCTTCACAGACTACAAATGATAGCATTTCACAAGCAATAAAAGTCGCACACTAACCAAACAGCAGAGACAAAATCAGAAGCTAGAGTTCACTTCATCTGACAGCAATTTTCAACACATAACTGCAGTAGTAATCTTTAAAACAGAATCTCAAGTGCCTATATTCTGTTTTCTCTGACTGCAAGCTTCTGTTAGTCCACCTGCCTTGCAAGACCATTAACACTTTCCACACATTTGCATCAGTAACTCATTTTCTCCAAACCAATGTGTCTTGGTGCAATATTCAAACACAGTCTAATTACACCCAATTGTTTTGTCCGTGCAATCTAAGGAAAGATGAACAGGAAATAGCCACACATTCATTTCCATGAAGAGAAAATCTCATAAATGCAGTGAGGACTGACTACACTTTTGAAGTGAGGGTCATTGTTCCAGACCCAGCACACCTCTAAAATTACAAATATGAGCTAGGTGCATTAATATCATAGTCTGATACCACAGAATAATTTTGGCTTTAGGCAAATCATGGTTTAAGGTCACCAATATCTGGTTTGGACATTCTTCTGTCATTTTCACTTTGTCCTGGCCATGCCCCATCCTGGCTACTGAAAAATTAACCCAGTCCTGGCTGGAACCAGGACACAAGGGAATTGAGAACCAGCCCCCTGCTCAGACTGTACCGTTCTTTCTTCAGCATCTCCCTCTCCTCTTGAAGGCTGCTGCTTATCACAGATGAGAGGTTTCCTTCCTGGACAGCAGCAAAGGCCTCAAGGCTGGAGGCTGGAGACCGGCTGACGGGTGTAGAAGTGAAACAGGTCTTTGGTTTCGAGAGGGGCCGCTCAGCACTCACAGGAGTTGGGTTGATTCGCCTCGATGGTTTGCTTTTGCTGAAAAGAGGAGAAGCAATTCCACTAAAATCAAGCTCAACAAGAACAAAAAAATTCGGTCTCAAGACAGATGTGCAATCAACTCTTCCAGAGGAATCTAATGCTAAAACAAAATGGATGTCAAGTTTGGGATATTGAATTTCTAAACTGTACCTATAGTTATCAATTTTATGCTATCACTGAAAAAAAGTCACAGAGCTATAGACTGCTAAAAATAGCCTGCTGAACCTGCAGCAAAATTAATTATCAAATAGCAAGCCATCTAACAGGTACCACAGTGCCATACAACCCTTCTAAATGTTTCTAATTTTCAGGACAGGATATGCCCATTTTTGTAAGAAACTGTTGGTGAATTCATTTCTATCATGATCAGGAGAAAAAAAAAAAAAAGAAAACCAAAACTAAAATCAATCAAGTTGCCATTGTCTATCAGCGAGAGTCCAGGCTCCCAAGTTACATTAGGCCATTTAAGTTCAGGGAAACCCATCCTTCCTGCATAAAATACTTGGATTTGTCCTTCAGGAAGAGTCTTGGTAAAGTAGCAAAAAACACTAAAAAAATGGAAATGGATACAGAAACATAAAGCATCACAGAAATGCTGGTTGCTACATATTAACTGCTAAGGTGTTCTCAAAATTGCTTTCCAAAGACTTGTGACCCCTTTCCTCCTTTTTCCTAGCTGAGCATTAATGCAACTGAGGAAGAGAGACTTGCTGGTTGTGCTGGAAACACACCTTATCTCCCTTGGCCAAAGCATCGTCTAGAGCATGACCCAGACCCTGCATTTGGATTTGCTGTACAGACTCACACATTTTATAATTTTTAGCTGAAGTTTTGCATGCCCACTTTTAGAGACCAGTGATTGATACACAGAGCAAACAGGCTGACACAAAGACTTTATATTTGGTAATGAGGATTTTAAAGAATGCAAAGACAAAGATTAAAGGACTGAGGCAACCACAACACAAACAGCTGCCCCAAAGTTTAGCTGAAGTCACCAAGGAGACCAGGGCTTGCTGCAGACCAAGAACACAGCCTGCTATTTTGTCCACAATTACACAGCACAGACGAAGCTGCACACTAACATCTGCTACCAGAAGCCACAGAAGAGCAATCCAAAAGCTTTTATGCTAGCATCAGTAAAGCTGAAGAGCCTTCCAGGATAGCTCTTCCTTACCAACTGATATTCTGTTAAATGAGAAACGTGAAGAGCCAAGATAGTGCTGACTTGTTAGAACACACAAGGACAAAGATGTGCTCAGCTTTGTATCAGCTGGGCTGTGCACTGGCAAGCTGCAGGCAGCATCACAAGTGAGAGGCGAAAGAGGCGTCTTGAGTGGGTCCACAGAGAGGAAACCTGACTCCCTATCAAGGCAATATTCTCCTCCCTACATGGTGACCAGAACAAAGCAGTTCTGACCACGTTTCCCTCAGAAGCCAGGTATTGTGTGCTACAGCCTCTTCTGCATCTGGACACCCACAACAGCTGGTCAAGGAGCTGCAACCTGCAGCAATCCCAGCGACACAGCGAGACAGACTCGCTCTTACTTTGTCCAGCCAGAGGCAGCACCCATGGGTGGAAACTCCTCCAAGTTGTTAAGGTTTAGCTGGCTGGGCGGGGATCTGGCAGAAACAAGAGGCACTTCACTCCGCTTCCTTCTCCCTCCACTCCAGGATCCACTGTCACTCTTTCCGTCCTCCTCTTCAGGAAGGGAACGCCCCAGATCGCGAGCTACCTGCCGGCCAGAGGCACCGAGCGAGCTGCTGCCTTTCCTGCGGCCTCGTCTCACGGGCAGGGCTTCAGGCGTGGCCGTGAGGAAGCTCCCCAGGCTGGCCTTCTGAGAGGACCTCTTCTCACCGTGGTGGAGCACTGGGCTGTGCCCAAAGCTCGGGCTGCTGCTGGAGACCATGCTGGGGAAATCACCGTAAGGGCTAGATGGGTTCGACCCAGAAAAGGAAGAGGAACCACTGGATGCTGCAGCAGGAGAAAAGCTGGTATCTGTGGTGCAGGTGGTCACTGAAGTCCTTTGAGAAAAGAGCTGCACTCGGCTGCTGGTGGCATGGCCTGCCCTCCTTTCTGATCCTGTCCGCTGGCTCCCATGAGCCTTGGAATTAGGAGTTTTAGCAGGAGTAGGCGGTCCATTAGTCAGGATCTGGCTGGTCTGCTCCCTTAAAAAATTTAGCAGAAAAGGCACAAAATCTTTCTGAAGCAAGCTAAGAGATACCAGCTTGTCATGGATGTGGTTCTCCTACAAGAGAAACAGACAAAAAATTAATATAAAGATGCTACCTGATTCTTTCTGCCCAAGTACCCAGACACGTTTAAGTAGTAACTATGGGATTTCAATACACAATAAAAACCAACATGACTTGTCAAAGTATATCACTGAAATTCAAGCAACCATAGTTCTGGTCACAGACCTGAAAATCATCCTACACACAAACCATTTTGGCACAAGTTTTCAGATGGAGTCATTCACTTTGGTCTCTGACTGGAAAATAGTGGAACCGTTCCATGGAAACATCAGTAATACTCTCTTCAGCTATGGCCAGGGAGGACTTGGAGCAACTGACCACCCTAAGTTCAACATTTTGAAAACATCAATACTGAAAGCATCTAATTCTAACAGAAAAATCTAAAACCTGCAAGGTCTCTGTGCTCTATTTTTCTGTGAATGCCGCCTGCTCCCACAGAGGGGTGCTGTAACAGCAACCGCTGAAGCACCTGGAGCCCTGCAGCGCCAAATACAAGACCAAAGCTGCTCTTCCATTTCAGTTTAAATAATTTTGCTCGAGACCTCACAGAAGTCTAAACAGAGACTGTGCAGCTTTAAGGTACATGAAGTTTATTCTTGAGAAACTTAAATAAAAACCCCACCACTGACTCAACACATTCGAAATCTTAACAGGTGGTGGTGACCTTACAAGGGTAAATCTAGACCAAAACGACTTCACACTACATGCGCAGTTTGAAGGTTTGTACCCTGGGTAAAAATTCTTTTGATCCTAACACTCCACCAGGTTTCTGTTTCCTCTCAATGGGATTCAACAACATTTGCAACAACAAAAGAAGTTTTCAAAGGCAGCAACTTTTTCCTTACTAATACTGAAAGCATTGCATACACATTCCAGTAAAGTTATATTCACAACCCTAACTAGATGAAAAGTCAAGAAAGCAAACACTATTTCTGAAGGTGGCTTCTGCATAACAGAAAGAAGTAAAAGCAACATTAACATGCCTGTAACTGAACTCACACAATCTTCAACACCTATACTAAAATTCATATTTGAAAGCATGAGACCAATTCAACTCCCTGGAGAAGTGTGAAATTCTGGCATAGCCCAGATAACAAGCCAAGCAGCCAACAATCAGTGAAAAAGCACAGCTCAGAATATAACCCCCATGAGGTGTTAGAAGACCATCTCCAGCCCAAAACTGCCACGAGAGCTAGAGCAAGACATGGCCTATCATTTCCTTCCCCTGGAATTAGCATATGCATACGGTTGGGTACTTTCTCCAGCTTTTCAGAGCACAACCTATTTTCACTCATCTTTCTCTGTCCAAGTTAACTGAGGTTTGGTTCCTCCACAACTGCGTAACAGCAACCTCTCAACAGCTGCCAGCTGCAAACCTCCCATTCGCTTTTCCATGCTGAACTAACTGCACTGCTTCAAATAGCAAAAGGCAGCAAGAAATTCCCTGCCAGGGCAAACTTTCTGACCTCCACATCCCTCACCCACGCAGTGCTAGTTGAGCTGCCAGGATCTCAAACTTCATAATGTCTGCAGGTCTGCTTCTGCAAGTCACAGCTGAAGAAATACCACACAACATACAAGTGCTGGTCCACTCTTCCCACACGTTTAGGATGACAGCAATACCCAACTAACTCGTGGGGGTGACACCAGTGAGTTTTGATGTTAATCCTAGGTAACACTATGCGAGGGGCTCAGACAGAAGATGCTTTAAATACTGCTTCTCTGTGTTATTCTCTATGTGAAACATAAGCGCTCCTAGTCTACCTACAGTTACAAATGTTTTTATTTCCACAGGAACCCAAATAATTCGTTACAAAACTCAGCCAACAAGCACCCTCTCCCAGTCCGCAAAGATCCTCCTCAAGGTCCGGGCGGGACGAACATCTAGCCGGGAGGCGCGCTGGCGCCTGCACAGAGCCACACCAAGCCCGGGCGCTGACAGCCTCGTCCTCCTTCCACCGCTACCTTCCCCTACGAAGATGCGGGAAGCGTCACCCCTGGTGTCACCGCGCTCCCTCGGACACCAGCTGCGCTGCGCTGCGCTGCCCACCCTGGTCCCGCTGGGCTCTGCGCGGGCACACGGCGGCCCGGGCTGCCGGCGCTTCCCGCGCCCGCGGGGCCTCCCCGCTCCCGCCGCGGCGCCCGCCAGAGACCGCCCGGCGCCGGCGGCGCTGAGCTCCGGCGGGCTCAGCCCCGCGCATTCCAGCGGGTTTCACACGCCCGCCGGGCAGCTCCCGGCGCAGCTCCCCGCCGGCGGCCTCGCCTTCCCGCCGCCGTGCCCGGAGCCCGCCCGCGCCGGGGGCGGTGCCGCCGGCGGTTCGATACAAGCTCGGCCGCGGCCGCGGAACGGCACCTGACCGGGCCCCGGGCTGACCCACGCGGGCTTCGCCCCTCACAGCAGCGCGGGGCGGACAAACTTTCCCGCACGGCCCCGGCCCGCGGTAGCGGGGGGCGCTGGGGGAGTGGCGCGGCTGCGGGCCCGGCCCCGCCGGAGCCAGGGCGCTGCGAGCGGACGACCTAGCGCGAGTTACCTCAGCCGGGCGGTGGCCGGGGCCGTGCCGGAGCCACCGCACCACGGCGCTGACCGACACCTCTTCCTGTAGCAGCAGCTCCAAAACCGCCGCCATTCCCGGCCCCGCTCCCGCCGAGCACGCGCACAACCCGCGCCGGGGGCGGGCCCGGCGTGTCCCCCCTTGCCGCGGGGGCGGCGCCGAGCGGGGATTCCCGCCGGGGAGGCGGGCGGGGGCCGCGCCCCCTCCCCATGTCAACACGCGGGGCACGGGGCGCCTGCGCCGGTCCGTGCGCGTCTTTTCCTCTCATGCGCGGTATTTCCTTCCCCAGCAGGGCTCGGGGCCCGGCCTAGCGGCGGCGGCACCCGCGGGCCGGGGCGCAGGGTAAGGGCAGCGGCGTCCCGCCCTCCCCGCGGCTCCTCGCCCGCCCGCCCGGCGACACGCGCGGCGGAGGATGGCCGAGGACTCGCCCAAACGGCGCAAGGCGAACTTCAACGAGGCGGAGACGGAGGTGCTGATCGAGCAGGTGCTGAAGCACGAGCAGCTGCTGTTCGCGGCGGGACCCGGCCGCGCCTCCGCGGGCCAGAAGCGGAAGGTGTGGGAGCTGATCCGGCACAAGGTGAACCCGGTGGCCGCCTGCCCCCGCGACGTGGAGGACCTGAAGAAGCGCTGGCGGGACCTGAAGCGCCGCGACCGCAGCAAGCTGTGCCGCCTCTCGCAGGGCTGCGGGCCGCCGGCGCCCCCCGCCCTCGGCCTCCTCCTGGCCCCCGAGGAGCTGCCGCCCGCCGCCGCGCCGCCCGCCCGCCGCCAGCGCCGCCCCTACGGCTCCCTGCTGCCCGCCGAGGCCGTGCCCATCGTGGGCGGCATCGACACGCTGGAGCTGCCCGGCGCCGTCGTGGGGGACATGGGTGAGTGCGGGAGCGACCCCCGCGGCGCCGCCACGGACCCTCCGCCCGGCGTCCGCAGCCGCGGGAGCCCCGGTGTGCGGGAGCGGCGCTGCGTGCGCGCGGGGGCCGCGGGGACCGGCCCGCAGGAAAGCGCTGGTTCGGATCCTTGGAAAGGCAGAAGGCACACAGAAGTGTGAGGCTCCGTGCCCTAGGTCATAGAAGTGCATAAGAACAGCTCCAAGAGTAAAAAGAGCGTCTCGTAGCAGATGCTGCCCATCCACGAGACGTTAGACCCGGCCACTGCTCTTCACTGTTGCCGTAGTTATTCCTGCAAATGTAAAAAGCCATGCCAGCGATATTGTCCTAGCATGCTGGAATACCAAGAGATTCTTGCAATCCAGTGTTTCAGCAATGCTCTTACTGTTTACTGGGTGCACCATAGAGCATGAAATGAGCTTGCAGTGGACTTTGGGATCTTAAAGCTTGGCTTCTGTGGTGGTAGGGGAGCTGTAGTATGCAGATACATGGTTAACTGGTGAATGCATATTTATGGTTTTCTTACCACCTGTTAAGGTAATTTGTATTCTAAAACCATCAAAGATAACATAGTGTGAGTTTGAAAGTCTTGTTTCAAGGACTGATGTAAGTGCTTAGTGGATGAGAAAATGTGTCACCACTGAAGTTATGAAGTTTCTCATGGGCTTTACTTTGCTTTTCTTCCTTCCCCCCCACCTCTTCTAGGGTTTAATGGCAGTCCTGGCCCATCTCATCAATCCAGTCTTGAGCAGATGAACCTCAAAGAAGAAATAGTAGTGAAGGTGGTAGAGCCAGAAGAAAACTCTGAGGACATGGTAGTGGTTCCACCTAGTCAAGAACAACTGCCTTTCCTGGGGACGTCAGGCGGTGGTTCCTCTGGGAAAGTAAAAGCCAAAACAAAAGGCAGGTGCCAGGCAGACCAAAATGAAATGACTGAAGAGGACCTACTGCAGATTCAGCAGACCCAAATACAGGTGATCCAGTCTGGCTTTGACAGCGTCAACCACAATCTTCGGCTGCTGCAGCAAGGCATGCAAGATCTGAATAACAGCATCAGCATCATGGCACATACGCTTGTTGCTATCAAGAACGTCTATGTGAAAAACAACACTGGCCCAACCACACATGCCACTGCATCTACTCAGACCACAGCTGGGTACCTGAGCCCGGGATCCCCCCAGCTCTCCCCTGCTAAGGACAGAGCTAGAGCACATGTGGCTGGAAGCAGCAGCAGAAGCAGCAGCTGCAGCTCCAGCTCCATGTCACAAGAACCAGGTCCTTCCGAATTTCCCAGGCCCCCCCTGAGACCCATTAAGAAAGAACATCCAAATGGCTGCTACTACTTCTGCTTTGCAGATGTGTAAAGACTTGAATAGTTGTGAAATGACTGTGTTGTTGGGTGCTAATGTATGTTCTGCTCCGGCCTGTGACTTCGAAGGAGCAAAATGGACTTGCCTCCCATGTTTTTCCCAGTGGGAAACATTTTGCTATAGGTGGCATTAAACACTAATTACCAGTCTCCAGTTAACTCTGTTGCAGTTGGCTAATAAATTTTTTCTCTTTTCTTTATCCTCTTATTCTCTAAAAAAACCAAACATTTATTTTGAGTAAGACTTTTGTCTGTATCATCCTTTGTTTAATGTCACCTTATGAAAAATAAAAGGCATGAGACTGGGGTCAAAAAGTAACATTATGGTTACTACCACCAGGAGCTATCTTACAGAAGTTACTTGGTTCTTGGATTAAACAAGCCTCAGAAGTAGCTGGCTTTTTAAGTACTTCCCTTTTCTAATAGTTATGTTGGGGCTGTTTGCTTGGTTGTTGTTATTGAGATTTTATAAGTGTGAGCTGTGCATCACATGAGGAATTTGAGTTACTTGCTTATTCTAGGAATGGTTTAGCACTGAGCATTCACTAGCATTCATGAGTGCCCTCCTCAGAAGTCATACAGCATTGTTCCACTCTGCTGTTGTTCATTCCCAGCTTGTCAAATGCACCTTCTCTTCAGAGACATTGTGTTTTACTGCACTAGCAGAGTAGTCTCTTTTTTTAACCAGTCACATGGTTAAAACAGAGAAGTACAGAAAAATAAGGAATGGATGAGTGATGCTTGTTTCTGACATATTATATGTAGGCATATAATTTCTGACAGATTATATGTAGGCTGTATCTTCATCTGATTTTGTTAGCCTTATGGAATCAATACCACAGTATTTGAAATACAGAGAACAGAAAGCTTTGTATTGTTTTACATGAAATGGAAGTCAGATTTGCTGTTTAATTTCAGGAGGCAGGGGCTCACTTCATTCCAGACAAATGCTCCTGCATAGTTTAAAAAGCTTTCATTATCATTTCATTTCTCGTAACTATATGGCCAAGGAAGAAGAAAGATGAGAAAGAGTTGGAGCAAAACGTAACCTGGTGTCAACTCTGAAACAAGCAAAAATCATTTTCTCTTCAGGCCAAAAAGAAAAATTGCCATTTCACATTTAGATAGGGAAAACTATTGTCAGTGGCACTATTTTAAGTTGTGTTTCAGGCTTACGTATTCGAGCCACTCTACTTTGCACAATTCAGAAGTAGCAGAGGTGCAATGTTCTTATATCTGGTGTCTGTACTGGAGGTCAAACAAAAACACTCTCACCTGAAATTTTGTCCAATGACTTGAAAAATCATACAGGTGCTCTTCTGTAGCATTTATCACCAACATTTAAAAAGGTTCTGCAGATAAATTTGGCCTACAGCAATGACTAGCTGCTTCTAGTGTTATAGTCAGTTTGCACAAGCATTCCTCTGCAGGAATTTAGCAAATACAAATAACATAGAGAGTCACAATTAAACTGTCCCTGTCCTAGAAGCATAAGACTATGTAATCATAGCATTAGGTATGCCATTTTTGCAGTCAGCTTTGACTGAACACTCTGTATGAAAATGTACTTCATTTCTGCTGTTACACCATTTTGGTGTACTGAATTAACTCATCTGGACTTCAAAAACCAGCCACTGCTGCCTACTAAAATGTGAAAACAGGGTCATCAGTTAGCAAGTGTTTCCCTTCAGAATCACAGATGGAGTAAAATATGAAAATATCTCACAAAAATAAAATGTATACATGTACAGCTCAATGTTAATTGGGATTAATGCCTTGAAGAAGAGAAAGGTTTTTTTTCCAGGTTTACTTTAACAAAAGATGATGTTATGTGTGACAGGTATTATGAAATTGTGGAGTTTAAGAATGACAAAATAATCCTTCTAAATCAGATTTTTGTGTCTATGTTGCTAAAAGCTTTCCAAATTAACTTGTTGGAAGCATTATTTCTCCCCCATCAGTAGAGATGGGCTCTCTTGAGCAGGGTTTTCTGTATTTTGTTCTCATGGACACAGAAGCTAATTCATGCTACCATGACATTCCAGATAGATTAGCAAATGCGATTTACCTGGTCCTTCTGGGCAGCAGTTTGAGCTTGTCCAGGTTGCATCTTGCAGTTCTTACCTGTCTTTCTCTTGATGTTTTAATTCTTTTTGCAGCTGTTAATTCCTGAATTTCACACACTACAGCATTTCCTGGGAGAGGTGACTTGTGTCTGCTGTCTCATGTTCCAGTACTGATTTACGTGAGAGGCAGCTACAGTGCAAGTAGAGAAGTGCAGTAAGATCCTGTGAGCAGAAGGGGCAGATTGGATCTCCTGTATGAATGAAGACAAGCCAGGCAATGCTAAAAGACACTGTGGTGGTCAGACAACAACCAGACCTCAACACCAATGTACCACAGCACGTTTGTTCTGATCTTGCTTCTTGCCCTATGTTTCAGTTGTTCCGTTAAAATATACTGGAGCCAGATCAAAATCACTCTTCTGCTTCTGACATATTCTAGATTTACATACTTTAAATACAAGAGACTCAGCTACCTCTCATCACTACAGAGTGGGCAAAATTGTTACTTTCATCTTCAAATTAGTACCGTTGGTTGCTATTTCTTTACACTCCCTTTCTGTGATCATGTGCACCATCCAGAAGCCATGCCATTAATTTTCTGGCTGCTCGTAACAGAAGGTGAAACATAATTTTCTTGGACTGTTACTGAGTAAATGAATTCCCAATTTGTTTCCTGTGAAGCTATCCAGGCTATTTGTATAAATGACAAGAGCTAATGCCCTGGTCATGAAGCTTAATGAAAATACTGCCAATTATTTGAACAAAGGCAGAGCT